CGTGCTACGTCCAGATAATAACCAAAATTTTAAACGAATTATTGATAGCAATGCTTGTGGACCTGCATGCAAGTATTTATGATGATACGATATCACTATAAGTTTAGTTAATACATGGCAGTTCGGGAGTATGATTGGATGCTTCTGGTCAAAAGACAATTCTGACTTTTGAAGACGTCCACCAACTCGTAATAGTCCTTTATCATCAAGAAAAGGATTTAATGATAAGATTTTACTCCATTTATGTATTGGTTTTGATTTTTTTATTGTTTGTATTTCCTGATGAAATACTTCATTTTGTGCCATATATACCAAACAGAAAAAACTTCTTTCTTTTTCATCTACAGTAAAAGGACCCGTTGTCTTATTATTAGATGATTTACAATTGGTGACAAACCGAAGTATATATGCAAAAACACGCTGCAATTTAGCTAAGCTGGAAAATCGGTTCCAAATTTCAGCAAATTGCACAGTTGATATAAATGTTTGAATTACCTTCTGGTCAGGTATGATAGAAATGTGTGAATTTGACAAAGCCTTAGTAGGCCAAGACAATTTATGAGAAGCTAACCATGGTGGCCCATTCCACCACAATTTTGAAGTGTTTAATAACTTTGGTTCATATCTGCGTGTAATTATGTCGGCTGGGTTATCATGCGAGTCAACATGATGCCAGCTATATCCATTAGAAAGCCTTTGTATTTCCGACACCCTATTTCCAACAAAGGTTTTCCATTGTGACAGTTCACCCAAAATCCAATAAAGAGTTATCATTGAATCAGACCAAAAATGTACCTCATCAAAGCTAACACCTATTGTTGCGATAACCTCCGATGCCAATTTTGCAGCCAATAAAGCACCACACAATTCCAATCTAGGCAAAGATATTGTTTTTAAGGGTGCTACCTTTGATTTCGCACATAATAACTAAGCAAGAACCACCTTGATCCAGTGACCGAATGTAGAGTGCTGCGCCATAAGCAGACTCTGAAGCATCACTGAAACAATGTAATTGTCTATTAATTGGATTAGAACACAAAACTTGCCTGCTAATGTGAGTTTTCTCCAAATCTGCAATTGATTCCCTAAACTGGTTCCAAGCTGTGTGTAAATCTAAAGGTAAAGACTCATCCCAATTTAATTTTAATTGCCATAGTGATTGCATTATTAATTTAGCTTTAATTATAACTGGACCTACTAGTCCAAGAGGATCAAATATCTGTGAAACTAAAGACAGAACTGTTCTTTTGCTAACCTTTGTGTAATTAGAAAAATTGATTTTATATTGAAGCGAATCTATCTTTGAGTTCCAATAAAGCCCTAATGTTTTTGTTGTAACATCATCTGCAAGATAATGTTCAATGTCTCCCTTTATTTGAATATCCTCATCAAAAATTTCAGGTTTGTTTGATACCCATTTTCTAAGTGAAAATCCTGCTGTGCACAAAATATTATTTAATTCATCCTTTAATGATTTTACTTCTTCAATTGAACTCCCCCCTGTAAGCAAATCATCAACATAAAAATCCTTTAAAATCACCTGGGAAGCTAGAGGCAGGTTCAATTGATTCTCATGAGCTAATTGTTGTAAGCTTCTTATAGCCAAAAATGCTGCTGGAGCAGTCCCATATGTTAGCGTTTTCAGCTTGTATGTCTCAACTGGTTGCTCATCCGAAAACCTCCATAATATTTGTTGTAGTTTTTGCTGAGTTTTACAAACAAAAACCTGTCGATACATCTTTTCGATGTCTGAAGCTATAACTACATTATGTTTCCGAAAACGAAGAAGAATGCACATTAAATCATCTTGTAATTTTGGTCCGACCATTAGAACATCATTTAATGACAAACCACTGTCAGTTCTAGCTGACCCATCAAATACTACCCTTAATTTTGTAGTTAAAGACGTTTCCTTTAAAACTCCATGATGTGGAAGATAGTAGTTGGGTGTTTCTGAATTGAAGTCAGTTTTATCTTCAACCTTTGACATGTGACCCAACTGGATATATTCCTGCATAAACTCATGGTATTTAATTTTCATTTCCAAATTTTTATTTAATTTATTTTCCAATAATTGAAATCTTTTTAGTGCATTACTATAAGAATCTCCTAAGTCAGAAATGTTTGACCTTGTTGGTAATTTAACAACAAAATGACCGTTTTCATTTTTAATCGTGCTAGCTTCAAACAACTCTTGACAATAAATGTCCTCCTTGGACATAACCTTTTTTGCACCAAATTCTTCTATTAACCAAAATTTTTCAATTTGGTTTTCCAAAACATTAGACGAAAAATTACATACCACTGAATTGTTGCTAACCTTAATTGATTGACTAACTGGCCCTGAAATAACCCATCCCAACTTAGTTTTTTGGAGAATTGGTTGATTTTTGCCAAGTTTTATCTGACCCACACATAATAATTGCCAAAAAACTGATGCTCCCATTAATACATCAATTTGTTTTGAAACCCCAAATGTTTCATCTGCACGTACAATGTTTTTAGGAATATTTTATAATCCAAGTTTAAATCCGAAGTTGGTAAATTGTCAGAAATTTTATCAATTACTAATAAAAATGCATTTGTTTGATAATTGCTAAACTTTGATAAAAGTGTCCCATTTAATGCCTGAGAAATGTTTGTTATACCTTGACCTAAACCTTTAACCGGAATGTGTACCTTATCTGCCCGTAATTGTAATTTTTCAAAAAATGAACGTGATATAAAATTTGACTGTGAACCTGAGTCCAATAAAACTCTACATTCATGCAAAATTCCATATTTGTCTTGCATATATACTAAGGCCGTTGAAAGTAAAATATCAGTTTTTAATCTGTATGATATACCTTGCTTAGAATGATTTAAAAAATTAATTGAATCCTGACCTATATCACCCGAATGTGATTCTAAAAAACATGTCTGACCTATATCACCCGAATGTGATTCCAAAAAACCTGTCTGACCTATATCACCCGAATGTGATTCCAAAAAACATGTCTGACCTATATCACCCAAATGTGATTCCAAAAAACCTGTCTGACCCAAAAAGTTTAATTGAGATGTACCTTCCATTGAATTATTATGGAATGCACCTTGTCCCTGAATATGTACTTCCTTTCCCTGATTAGATATGCCATTTCCCTATGTGTGTGTTTCTTTCTGGGTAGATATACCACAAATTTGTGATTCAACCTTTGATCCGTTGAGTTGAGTTGCATTTGTTTGTAAATGAGAATTGTTTATAAATTTACCATCCATATGTAAAAGAGTATTGTGTAGTTTTCCACAAAGTTTACAACCTCCCCATGTACAATGTTGTACTAAGTGTCCATCCTTTAGACAGTTCCAACATGCTTTTGATTTTGTTACCTCTTGTCTTCTAGCTGACACTGATAAATTATGAAATTTTTTACATGAATAAAAATAGTGCGGTAAATTACAAAGTGCACATTGTTTGGACGTTGCAATGAATGACTTTGATAATGTCATTTTTTGCACCCTTTTTTTTGTTTCCTTTGATATTTGCTCTATATCTTGTTTATCCCCTTCTGAATTTTGTAAGTGTTGTACTTTATGATCTATAAATGCTAAGAATTCCTGTATAGTAGAAAATTCGTTAACTGGACCCTTTTCTTGCCATTCCTTATTTGTGTAATAATCAAGCTTTTTCTCTATGGTACAAAGTAAAAGAACATCCCAATGTTCAACTGGATAACCTAACATACCTAGTGACTTTAAATTTCTTTTTATACAACCTGACAATTTCTTTAATTCTAAACTATTTACCTGAGTTATTTTTGGATATTCATATATAGCTTCAATATGACCACGTGCAATAAGTTTTTTCTTTTCATATGTTTCAGATAAAAGTTGCCATGCAATAGTAAAATTTTTGCTAGTAGTTTTTAGCTGCTCCAGTTCATCCTGGGCATCCCCTATTAAAGCCCTTTTTAAATAGTGAAGCTTGTCAACATCATTTAAATCAGAATTTTCTATGACCATACTAGTAAAACTATCTCTAAATTCTAACCAATGTTGATAACAACCATTAAAAGTTGGAATCTCCAGTGGTGGTAACCTTACATTTTTTAAGCTATTTCGATCTAAACTAGTATTTTGACCTGAGTTTGCTATAGTATCGTTTAAATTAACTTCATTCTTTAATATAATTTCTGCAGAGGCTATTAGTTTAAAATATGCATCCTGAAAATCTAACCTTTCTTGTAATTGTTCCTCTGATGTGTCTAATAAGTCAATTTCACTTTGTATTTGATCAAAATCATTCCACCATTCTTTGCATTTGTCAACCCTAACTTGTAATTCTACTATTTTATCGTGAGTAAAACTGCTTATAAATGAATCAAATTTTGTAATTTGTGCCTTAAAGATACCACGCTTTCTTTTTAAAACTGTTAACTGATCCATTGCATCGACTATGTATAATATCAATAAAGTTTAAAGCTTGCTATTAATAAATCCTAACAAAACGAAATTATAATAACCTTGTGACACAAATTAATATCTCTCTTATTCCAGGATAGGTATTATAGGAATGAAAAATGTGTACTCACCACATACCATGCCATGTTAACTTTTTCACTTGCCGATAAAAAATACACTAACACTTGTTGCTTGTTGATAAAATCCGTTCGAATGACCATGAATATAGTTTTTATTTCTGAGCCTTCAGAAGTTTGTGGACTGTATTTCTTTGTATGAAAAATAATTATTCTGACTGTCACCTTTTATTATAAATCTTATAAAACTTAAAATATTAACAAAAACAAAAAAGAATGTCTTATTTTTTCCTCTTGACAGCTACACGTGGTGTCGTTGTCGCTAGTGTTCAATGCATGCGCCCTGTGGCCCATGCAGGGACGGCTCTTGCATTGTTGACTGCTGAACATCAATATTTATTAATAATTTAACTAACCAACTACTAATTCTTCATATATACATTCCTTATTTTAATATTTTATCTATTTTACATGTTTTTATAGCAATTGAGAGTGATAGTGACCACGAGCCTTCATCAACCGTTACTATTCCCACCCCTCCCAGGGTCGCTGATAGCAGCGAAGAGGAAAAGAATTGTAAGTAATTAATAACTGATAATTAATTAAATAAATGCAAACAACAATAAGAATTCATCTTATTAATCTTCTACAATGTGATAAATTTTAAATAATTGAAATTGTCAGAACAGATGTAATAGCACCTTCCTATATACATATGTTTATTATATGTACATATGTATACAGGATTAAAAGTTCTAGAAGTGAACATACAAGAGATACATTTTGCAATGCTGCATAGTATTGTCATTCCCACTCGTTTTGAAAGGTAAGCTCACTGGTAGTGTCGTGTTATTTTGGATATTGAGAAGGAAGAGTAAATTAAGTATTTATTGATAACCAATTATGATCTTTTTGTAGTGCCTATCCGTTTCGGATGTTCGACCATCATCGCAATCTGTATTTTGCAAACTGCTGCTCTGAAACGAGTTGTGGTTGTTGTGTTGAACCATGTAAAGTTTGTTTCACGAAAAATGGTTGAGTGCTTAATGGTTACCTGGGTTGATCCTATTGTGTATACAAGAGTCTCTCAATAAACTACCGAAGTACACAGGGTCGCACTTCAGAAAGTTTGTTATTTAATATATTTCATTGGTAGCTGTGTAATACACGATTATAAAAATTTATTAAATTATTTCATATAGTATTTTCAGGTTGTTCAAGTGAATATACTTGATAATTGAACAATTTTTAACATGAAGAAAGTTTTTTCTACGTGAATAGTTGTAGTATATGGATCTAAATTCAGAAAGGTACTTTCCTTCACACTTTTTACAGGCTTAGGACTGTCAGCAAAAAACTGGCGTGATTTTTTGCTCTTCCTAATCGGATATCGTTAGAAATGTACAGTAATAATAGTTCTATTTACAGTATATACATACAAACGAATACATAATATACCAAAAATAGATGAATTGAAAAAAAAAGAAAAATATATACAAGTTAATATTTACAAAAAAAAATACCCAAAATAACCAAAATATATTTATGAATTCCTAAATACCTAATTCTGTTTCGCTGTGGCTATCCTCTTCAAGATTAATAACAATTGGTTTAATTATGTGATTCAAAGTAACATATGAATTTTCTACGTTCATTACATGGCCTACTGAATTTTTCCAATTTTCTGGGGAGATATCATCAACACATTTCCTTATTAATTCGACTACACTACCACTTAAAGTCGGAGAAACATTTTGTGACCTAAAATTTGACTTTAGTTGGTGCCATATATGCTCTTTGGGATCAAATAAACAATAGTAGGGCGGAAGCCGTAACACTGTATGTCCCATGTCCTTGGCCAATGCGTATACACAAACATATACTTTTTTAATAGAAAATGATTTTAACACTTCTAACAGTTCATTTTTTAAATAACTTTCTTCAAAATATATATCGTTTTCTAACAGGTAGTTTTGAATTTCAATTTTCGTGTTATTTGCACTTGGAGACTTATGTAATTGACGACTGTGGTAACTTGCATTGTCCATTACTATCACACTATTTTGAGGAAGGTTAGGTATAAGACAATTCTTAAATCATTGCTCAAAAAGCTCTGCCCTTGTATCCTCTTGGTAGTCCACGCAGCAGTCTTTAATGTTCTTTGCAGAAAGCCATAAGTCATTTGCGACCCAACCATTTTCTGATCCTGCATGTAAATTTGTTATTCTTTCCCTTTGTTTGATGGAGCTTTTGTTTGACACCTGTTGGAAGAATCGGACCATCCTTTGGATCGTGTTTCATGAGTGTCAAACCATGTCTCGTCCAGGTAAATTATTGGTCGATCTTCTGGTACTTTCTTATGGAAGTTATATATTCAGTACGCCACTTTTGTAAACGACGAGACTCCATAAGCACTTGCCTTTTGTCAATTATACGATATCTGAAGCCCATTTTAGACAAAATCCTCCAAAGACTAATGCGGCTACAGTTTATTTGTGTATTATCTTTAGTAAGTCGTTGTTTTAAAGCATCTAATGTAGGTATCCGTTGCTCTTCGTACATTGTGTAAATTGTTCGTCTTATCACTCCATAAGGACGAAATTCGTCAATACATTTGGTAGAACCGGAATCCTTACGCTTCCTTCTGGACTTAATGGGATTTGATGAAATTCTTTTCACTGTGGTTGGAGGTATTTTCGGTAAATCAGATATTTCACTGGCAGTAGTATTAGCAGTAAGTGCTCTTGTAAGTAAAGAACTATATATTGTTTTTACGATTTCTCTAGCGTCAGCAGATAAATGCTTTTTCTTTGCTGGAACACTGGAAGAAGCACCATCAATGTTTTTCCACGGACGCCACATAATGCTGTTTTATAGGTACAGGGTGACAATCTGGAGCCGAATGTTTTTAGAACGCCCAGTACGAAGCTTGAGAATATGAGAGTGGGACGAGCGCGGCGTTACTACCTCTGTAGTAGTGTGCCATTTCAGCAAACATGGAGGAGGGGATGGTAGAATATTGCACGTTTGCATACGATACGTTTATCCAAAATCAAGAATCAGTAATCACTACGCAGCGGCTTTGTTGCACTCACTTTAATATTCGTAGGTGTGGAGCAGTTCCATTTGGCAACACAATTTTAAGATGGATAAATTATTATAGAACAGGCAGTGTCGTAAAGAAAGCAACATAAAATTTCACGCTTAAAAATTACAGATTGTCTAGAAATTATTAAAACTAGATGTTGAATAATATGAGGATTTCGCTACTAGAATGCAAGTTCTTTTGGAGGATAAATTAGGTCAGCATCCTCTAATGAGCGACAAAGCTCCTTTCCATCTGGACGGAACCGTTAATAAACAAAATTACAGGTACTGAGCTCCTGAAAACCCACGAAATATCCATGAGCATCCTTTACATTTTAAAAAAGTCACAGTGTGGTGTGCTATTGGACTGACTGGTATTATTGGGCCATATTTTTTCGAGGCTGGCCATACCGTCACCGTTAATTCTATCCGCTACGTTGACATGATCCAAAATTGTTGGTTCCAGAACAACGCAGAAAAGGGATAAACCCAAGGAATGTGTGGTTCAGCAGGATGGTGCCACAGCACATAATGCTGTGAATAAATATTCTCCGCAACCTATTCCCAGGATAACTCATTTCACGTTTCGGAGATTTGCCGTGGACTTTAAAGTCTTCAGACCTGCCAATTTGTGATTTTTTCTATGGGGGTATTTAAAGAGTCATGTATATGCTTGCAAACCTCATAATTTGATCGAGTTGAAAAACGCAATTCGCCAGAAAATCCTGACTATTGATCAAGTGATGTTAGAGCGTGTTATAAAGAATTTCATAAAGAAGATCAAAAACTGCATCCAACGTGATGGTTACCATTTTGATGACATTATTTTCCATACTTAATTAAATTATAAATGGCGTAATATAAGCCTTATTTTGATGTTAATAAAATAGTATTTTCTTGCAAATTTTATGTGTAAAATTTAGTTCAAAATCGTCCTATTACCAGTTGTCACCCTGTATAAATAGGTATAACACTTGTAAAACTTTCAACTAAATGAAACAAAATGTATATTTAAAAATTTCTCATCGGTTTTATATACTTTTACAAATTTACAGAATAGAGGGAACCTGTATAATTATTCCAGGAAATACTTAACGATCAACAAATTTATTATGGTCATTAAAAGATCAACCATTGATAGTGAAACTCACTGTTAAAATGTTTACAACTTTATGAAATAAAATGTATTCTAATCGTTTGTATAATTTTATACGATTTTTTAATAGTTTTTATATTACCAGAAATTTATGATACAAACAAGATAACGGCACTCCACAGTAGCTTCAATTTTACCTGAATACTTACCTGCTCAACTAATGTTGACTAAGCTAGGGTACTTGCGGTCGGGTTTTATTGCAGTCATTAAACACTCAACCATTTTTCGTAAAATAAACTATACATAGATTTTTGAGCCAGGAAATCCTTCCCCTTCCTGGTCCTCGTTTTTCTTCTACTTTTCCTTGTAGAATTTATTGCAGCAACTCATATCTTTCACGGTTCCTCATGCTGTAACCGAGGTATTCGATATTGGCTGTTTTTATTGTGGTTAACAAATCTTTCGTTTTAAATTCTTAATAAAACGCCCTGGTTAGTACCGTGGTCGGTATAGGATATCTTCAGGATTCGACGATAAAGCCACATTTCGAAAGTCTCAATTTTCTTGCAGGTACAGTCTATGAGGGTCCACGACTTAACTCCATACAACAGTATGGGAAAGATATAACATCGTAGTAACCTTTGATTTTGGTATCATCGGATTCTCCTCCCTCTGTACGGATTGACGATGTTTGATTCCAGTAAAGATTGCTAATACTTGCACTTGTGTGCTCTCTTGTACCCGCTACATTCCGAAAACCAAACTGTGTACGGCTGATTTTTTCTTCGCATAGTCATATCCTTTGATGTATGATTTTTAGAAATAGCTTTAAAATGTTGCTCATTAGGCTGATAGTTCGGAAATCATTGCAGGATTTGACGTTCAGATTTGATTTGCAGAATAAACGTTGACTTCAGCCTTGATCTTGGTATTACTCCGTATGTTTGTTAGTAGGTTGATTCCTTATTATGTTTTCTGGTTGATCTTGCGGAGAGAACCAAGCATACAAACGTCTTGGTGGTAGTTACCTAAACGTTTACCAATATGATAATCAATAAGAAATAAAGTCGATTATAAAATAACTAACCACAGGAACACCTTTAGGAAGAAAAAGCAAAGGCCGGCTGAGAATTAGCTGGTTAGATGGAGTTGAAACCGAGGGGCATTAAAAATCAGAAGATGGCTACATGTCGCCAGAAACCGAACAGAATGGCGACGAATCTTAGATTTATTTATTTTATTTAGCGTATGGCTATATCATAATTAAGTGTTGTGTATAAGTCATGGACGTATAAATAAAGATTTTTACGATCTTCATTTATACGTCCATGGTATAAGTAAAGAGAATACATTACAAAGAGTAAATAAATATTAGCTATTGTGATATCGCCGCATTTCACAGTTAGCTCGTGGATGTTGTTCTTGGTATAAGTGGAAATTAAGGCCGCATTTTTAATGTTTGTGCGTACATAGGTTGCTACACTGTAGGCTTTATCGTAGGTAAATAGATCATAGTCTGTGATTTCTCTTCTTGAACTCAATTGGACTTCATTGTCTGTATGTTTTTCTTGTATTAGGATCAAGTCAACACCGTTTTATTTTAAAAATATGTCCAGAATTTGGCATTTTGCTCTACTTGTGTCTTCTATATTAAGTTGGCCAACTCGTACACTGGGTCCAAGTTCTTTTGTCAATTGTTCTTTAGAAGGTCTATTTGTTGGCAAAGTCATCTTTAATAACATTAAAACTGAGATTTCTTTCTGCCAGAATACTTGTGAAAGATTGTATTGCGCCTCTTGTGCTAGTTCATTTAGATTACCCAGGGTGCACGTGCAGAATTTTACTGCGGACGCGAACTAGCTTTACACCCCAATTACGAATCTTAGAGCAGGCCAGGATCTACAAAGGATTGTTGAGTTGAAAGTTGAGAGGATGACGATAATGAAGAAATAAAGACAACTTCTGATTTTAAAATTGACTCGTTTACATAACTTTAAGGTAGAAAAAATCACCTTTTAGCCTCACAAATTCCTTAATATCCACAAAAGGGTCATCTTCGTTTTCCAGTATGACGGCTTTATTGATCTCAAAACTTCGGTAATTTTCAATCTGTTTGAGTTCTTTTTGATAATGACCATTATATTTTGTTAACGACATATCCTCACATAGAAAATTATTTGGGTCCAGAAAAATTTTAATTTCGTTACAATTTCAAAATTATACGTAGTCCGATCATCCTGTCGAAACCATATATTATTAAAATATAGTTCCATAATATACTAAGCAGCATAGTCCTCTATAGGACCAATCTCCGAATTTTTAAAAACGAGTCCAGCTTGTCGTGATGTAATGTCGGCTTCCTCCGCTATTTTACTTTTAGAACATGGTTCTTTCATTTCAGTGGCATAAATTGTAATATCCCATTCTAAATATTCTTCACTTACAACTCTTGAATTCTTATCACCTAAATAATATTTAAAGTAAGAATTATTACAATTGAATTTTTCGAGCTGTTGGAATATTTATTTGGAATATTTATTGTGCGACTAAGAATTAATCGATTTTTAAAAGAATATGTAAAATGACCTAATATCCTGTCGTTTGACATCCCAGAATAATAATTTTTGACGATACTTCTTTCTCAAGAGATAATACTATTTTTTATTGTTCTATATTTCGTTGTTCAGAACTGAACGAGAAAATTTAGATGAATGAAAACCTGCTCGGCTTAACTTCTGAATTGTATGGAATCTTGTACCCGCCTCTCATAAACAGATAATAACATGTTAAATCTTATATGTTCAGTTCTTGATGTTCTTACGACGTACTTATAAGTATAATTTAGATATAGTACATAGTTTATTATCTGGTTTTACTGTTTTAATTTTAGTACCAATATCACCCGAAAAAGAGAAGGATATATTCGACTTCGGTAGTAGAAGCACATCACCGCCACCGATAACGCGACCAACCGAAATATGGAGGGGTGTTATCAACATGGTAGATGTTGCCCAAATATCAATCATTGCCCAAGAAGTTTCGGGTAAGTCGGTTAAATGTATATCAACATTATAATTCAATATAAAACTATAAATAGCTTCTGAAGCATAAAACTAATTTGCACAAATTTAAATATACATCATACATTAATCTATGTTTTTTTCTGCCTGACTAGCTTATGGTTTATAGTTTAGTCAAAATGTGAAATAGCCAATTTGTTTGTAATTCGAGTTCATTCTTAATATATGCTTAATAAAAAAAAAATTAGACAAAGTAGATGAAAACAATAGGTTCAATTTTTGGTTCTCTGTTAAATGTTATTTCTCCTACGGTTTATACATATATTGATAATGCAAAATATGGATGATGGAAAACCCAGGTATGGTTCTTTTCAGAGCTTTCTTTCTAGACACCAGAATTGTATTAGCCTAATGTGCAGATCGAGCAAGATTCTCAGCAATCATACGAGCAAGCTGAATTTTGGGAAGAAAAGTTTACTACTCCTACCCCTGTGCTTCCTCCTAAAACCTCACCTATTAGGGGGAAAAACGAAAAAAAAATCGATTTAACTTACCAAGAGTGTGTACGCCGGAGAAAAAAATTACACATTACAATTAATAATTAAACATAATTTTGAACAAAAATGTTTAGTAGCACTTTTTGTGTCGAATTAATCGTTTCCTCAGAAATAACGCTTGAAGCGACCGACGATTTTGAACGTCAGCTACGCGCACGAAATCAATTTTAATTAAAAATTTTAACAACTTTACAACAACTAATCGTAAAAATTCCATATCTTTTGACCAGAGTGTTCTATCGACAAAAATCAAAATACGATTAAAGGTGCAGAATGCAGCCTTCGTATTAAATGTTTGCGTTTTGACGCAAATAAAGTCGGTTTTTATAAAGGTGTTAAATAAATAAACGCTGTGCGATTCTTGTCATTTTTAACGATTTTCATGAGATCAATGAAATTTATCACTTTTATAGATCGGTTATAGAGGAATTTCCATTGCTGGAGCCTAATTTTCCAAACCTATAACATGAAATTTAAATGAGTTTTGGCAGAAAATATGAGGCATTTGAAATATGCCTGAAATCGCAGAATTTAAACATTTACATTACAAACGATCGCACGTCACGGGAGATGCCTCCACGAAGACGGTATTTGGTGAAATTTGTAGCTGAAGTTGTGTAGTTTCGAAAAACATACTTATGTAATTGAAAAGAAGCAGTTTTTAACATTTTAGATCGTTTGTACTGTAAAAGTTTAAATTCAGCCTTTTTTAAGCATATTTCAAATGCCTCACATGTGTTGCCAAAACTCAAAACCGACATTTCATGCTATAGTGTTTGAAGAGTTGGCTCTAACAGTGGAAATTTCACAGTTTCAATGAATGTGATAATTTTGGACACATCCTGAAAAATATGAACTTTTACATCTGATCATTCAGGGAAAGATCCAAGGTAAACCTGGTCCTGCTAGAAGAAGAACATGATGGTTAAAAAATCTAAAACAATTGTACGGAAATCGACTACATCACTATTTAGAGCTGCTGTCAATAAAGCCACGATAGGGAATATGGTAGCCAACATGATTTCCAACGATTGATAACTAATATGGAACTAGAAGATACATTTTGTTTATCACCTTTATAAGTACTAACTTCATTTGCGGCAAAATACAAAAATTTCGTACGAAAGTTATTTCTGAGAGAACGGTTTATTCTGCATAAAAAGTGCTATCACATTCACAATCTATTCTTTCCCGTTTTTTCTCTGCTGCAGGATTTAACGGGGAAGCCGTGGGTAGGAATGGTAAACATTTTGCGTCCTAAAATTGACATTTTTGGCAAAATTCAGCTTGTTCGTATGATTTTTTGAGGTTCAGTGACATTTTCGTCTCTGACGACTTTAATGTTTTATTTATTTCAATTGCGATTTAAAAACAAAACTTATGGCAATTTTCTAGAGAATTTTTGGCTAGGGTTGTTGTATCTGATGGTTTGTACATTATGTTTGTGTGCAACAACCCTTCTATGCAAATATTGGTGTGTTTCCCCAATATTTGTTGAATTACAGTCTTTACAATTTATTTTATAAACAGCATTTGATTGATGGTCTTTATTAACCTTGAGTTTAAATTTTGAAAAATACTTTCCAAGTAACTATAGAATTACATCAATCAACGTTACATTAATGAACTTATTTTCATATTATGCAATAATACAAAATCTTATAATTTATTAGTTGCCGGATATATTTCTTAAAATTTTTAAAATATTTTTACTTATATTTTAAGAACAGTCTTTATTGGAATTATAATTTTCGCGTTCTATTGCTTCAGAGAAATTAATTATGTCATTACAAAAAACACATATTTTATTAAAATTGTATTTTTTAGGAGACTGTGTTGGTTTAAATCGAGAGTTAACAGCTAATCTGGATATAGTTGGAAGAATATCCCCGGACACTGTATGGGACTACATCGGAAAAATGAAATGTTCCAACAGTAAAGGCATTTCTCTAATAAGGTTAAATCCCACCAATATAGAAGAAAAGATGCCGTATCTGGCTTTGTACAGTTATCTAAATAGTAGAGATAGATTAGGTGTGGTGAAGTGTGTAAATAAAGCTGTTAAGGACTTTTATATTTACCCTCTTGCGCCCCAGAAACCTATTCCTCAAGTTTTGCTACCTATTAATGGACCAGGTAAGATATACATTAGTGTCTAGTTGTATTATAAGTTCTTTGAAATTTCTTGATTTTTAAGTTGAGGATAACAAAATATATTTTTTATTTGAAAGTATGAATTTTTCAAAAGTTCAAGATGAATTTTTATTTCATTTCATAAACAGTATTACCTAGGCAACAAATGTACTACCTGAGAATAATTCGCATCTTCTGTGAAGATCCTTCGTTAACACCTAATAGTGTTGGCACCATTAATAGATTGAGTCGTATTAAAAACTATATGATTAATTAAAGAGATTGTAAAGTTTTTACAAAAAGTGAAAAGACACAAATTATTTGAGTCAATAATTGTTACATACGCGCAACCAATTCTGGAAGTATTTTCTCAACTCTGGATTGTAGAAAAATGGTTTTCTGCCCTCGATGTTTTCTCGTTCCAGTATTCTCCTCCTTCGATGTTATAAAATATCGCATGAAGCAATTGTATTCATTGCTGTCATTTAACGCGTAACAGCATTTAGTGTATGCCTTTTTTAAAATCATAGGATTTAAATGCAAACCTTCAAAAATGATTTAAATTTTTGCACTAACTTGGTTCTCTTCTAACTTTCAGTATTAAGAGTGTAGGCGCAAAATTTCGGGCCAATGCTTTTTAAATGCTTTCATTTTTTTTTGAATTCTAAGAAAACTAATAAGTATTTTTGAAATATTTAAACGCAGAATGAAGGGTTTACTTTATTACCGAGGGCCCAAAGTCTCTGAAAACTTCTTTAATGTTTATTTTAATAAGTTATACGGGTGAAAAAGAAGAGAAAATTTAGTGTAATTTTTAATTTCAAATATCCCATTCAAAAAAATTTTTGTTTATTCTAAGAGACTTTCGGCCCTCGGTAATAATGTAATCTTTTATACTGCGTTTAAATTTTTCAAAAATATTTATTAGTTTTCTCGGGATTCGAAAAAAATGAATGAATTTAAAAAGCATTGTCCCGAAATTTTGCGCCTACGCTCTTAACAACCGTCTCGATCGATATCTAAGTTGCCTTTAAATACAGTGACGCCATAACTCAGTAACGCCATCTATTTGTCGATAATAAAAACTTAAAAGATCAAGTCTCATAAAAAGCGCTTCACTTCAGTTCCATAATGTCGTTCTACATAACATTCTAAAAATAGAATTACACATTCTCAACTTTCAGATTTTTTTCTAAATTCTAAGACTGCAGAAAAAAACTGCACTTTTAAAAAGTTTCACCGACTAAAAACAGCATCACCAGCTCAACTAAAAGCTATGATCAAAATGTTTTCAGAAAATAATAGAGTATAGGTAAATTCCATTACGAGAATGAGAATCGGACCTTCTTCGAGTTTGGCAATTGCTCTTCTTTTTTGCTCGTCATTCAAATGCATTCGACATGTTTAGTACCTTTTTATTTTATTTTTAAATAAGCGCGAAATTTTTTACAAGCACTTTGAAATTTAGCAAATCTATATGACCCTGCGATTTTACAGTATTACAAAGTAAAAAATGAACCTTTAAGCATAATGTCTGACTTTCTTAGATATCTTTACTCCAGGTATCGAATGTACAAACTTTCGTGAAAAAAAAACCGTTTTCTATACATTTGCCTTCTTTTAACGTATGATAAAACCTTATGTTATACTGAAACTACTTATAGTCCGTCCCAAACCCTACTTTTAGTGCGTCATAGTTGATCGAATTCTCTCTAATGCATTAAGCTAGAAGTGACAGAAAAACATCAGTCTGTGATTATTATACATAGAACTTGGAAATTATCGTTCACGGGTATTTGCATATTAAAACAAATTCTACGTACGGATATATAATTGGTTGGAGTTTAGAATACGCTAAATAGATATCCAATCAATGATGCGTATAAATATAATTTGACGCAGATAGTCTCGATCGTGACAGTACTTTCATAATGTCAACTCATAAAATGATAATTGTTATTCCAGGTTAGTATTTTAAGACATTCTACAGTGAAAATTTAATTTTGTATTGTCATAAAAATATTTTAAATATGGCGAGATATTCCGAGAATTAACAAAGACTAATATTAAAATTATTAAATTATTTTCAATTAGAAAAAGAGGCTGGGACAACTTTATTACCAGTTTTTGCCGTCGTGAAGTAATTTTTAATTTATTCTAAAAAATATTACTAGTAGTTTAAATACTACACATTTTAACGTGTTGCCGAGGTGTTAGGAGTTTCGTTACCAAAAGTAAGACGATTGGCAAATGAGGGCATTCAAACAGGTGCTCAATACTCTTTCATTTGCACACCAAATCGGGTAGAATAACTCAACCATCAACTGCTTCACTATTTAAACTATTTCCACTATTTAATGATAAATCTTCAGAAAATTAAACTATTGGCTGCCACCGAAACTTATCGGAATTAGTTATCCGAATATGACGATGCTCAATCGATGCTATTTTATCTCAGGAATGTTTGCTTTGATGCTTTGCAATTGCCAGTAAATATGTTTATCTTCTCGCAATTAACTCTTAAAATATTCTAGAAGGAAGCTTTATTTTAAATAAACAAACATTCTATTTCCATAGTGTTTGTAATAAATAATAATAAATCCATAAATAAATCTTAGCTAATTAAACACTTTTCTTGGAATGTATAGAATAGGAATTATGACAAACTGCCGTTCCAATATGACGGGACCTCTAATATGTAAATTAAAAAAATATTTTGTAAAGTTTTTATGCCACATTTAAAAAAGATAACCTTTTCACATTTAGCCGATTACGATCCTGCAACTGTCAGATTTAACTAAAATGTCATGCAATAATTCTCGACATTCTTAAAATCCTATATGACGTAAAAATTAGTGACGCACTGAAAGAACGGTTTTGGGCAGACTGTACATGTTTTATTTCGTCAAATTTTAATAACAATAGGAGTTAAAATTTACATTTGTACTATTTTGATAAAACAAATAGGACTTATTATAAACCAATACTAAAGCTATTATTTTTCAGGTTTTGAAGAATCTCGTCCATCCCTTTTGTTAGGAATAATAGTTAGAGATAAACGAAAACGGTCTTATTTGGAGCCCACTCCAGTACCACATTTACCAGCCGCCAAAAAGTCTAGAATAAGTACACCACCGCTTCCTGTAGCCCCACCACCAGTTGCACCCCCGCCACCTCCACCTCCTCCACCGCGTTCCTACACACCACCACCCGTTAATGATCCACGTTTAAATAAAAAATTACCCATACCTGCTACACTAGCACCTCCGCCACCTCCATCAGTACCGATTACGATACCTCCACCCGTAGTAAACATTAGTGTGCCACCTCCGCCACCACCAGTGAAAATTGCTTCCTCAATATTACCACCTGTTATACCTGGACTTAAAACGCCTACGCCGCCGCCAGTAGATGAAGGAGGTATGTCAGTGTTTTGTTTATCTCTCCTATGCAACTTAAACAATTTTTACCTAGACATACGGCTAGAATATGTAAAATAAAACCACTACTTATCTATACTAAAGATAAAACCGCAAATAAATTGTATGATACACTAAAGGAAAAATAAATGCAGCTTCAAAAGAAGCAATAGGAATTATTCACCAATAAAATATATGTAACATTTCACTCAACAAAATGAGGGACAGAGAACCACATCAAACATTGTGTTAATTGAGAATCGACCAGAATACTAGTGATACAAAAATATAAGTAAGAGATTATATGGGAATGATGCCACTAATACTCTTAGAATTGTACCCTACGATTTTACATTATACTTTGCGAATTGATTACATATATTTTTAATTAATGTTTTTATGAAGGGCAAAAAGTTCCACATGCTTGGTGTAGAGCGTATATAAGCTCAATACATAAAAAGTAGTTAGGTCCCGAATTTGGCACATCCGGTTTTACTGGAAGTCGACGTTAACTTTGATTTTTTTAAATAGAACCTAATATTTTTTATTTTATTTTCGAACTTTACATGAAATTTTAGATACAATTTCTGCACAAAATTCTATACCAAAAATAAAGTATTTTCGAGATATTTTGGTTTTTTAAAAATTTGACTTCTCAGATATTAGAATTAGAAAAGGGTAGGCCATGCCTGTCAAAGATTTGATAGTTAGAACGTTAATCGTTTACATCTATGTAAATGTAACTTGACAGTTTTCTTTACCAGTTTAAATTTCACAGTAAATAATGGTACATGTAGGATTTACCATTCGCTGTGTGCAAGTACTTAGAGGGGATACGAGAAACGATCGTGCGCGTGCAGCGGTGAAATCTGACAACTTTGTTACCATATTTCATAAGTAGTTACTGAAGAAAATGGGATTTCGCAAGTGCTGTGTTATAAATTGTAGAAATACAACAAAAAATAGTAAATTCAAGTTCTGTCGGTTTCAAACTCCTAAGCACAAATTAGTGCAACGAGAAAAGGAGAAAAGTGGATTTATATCATAATAAAGCAGAAGTAAATAACATACATAACATAACATAAATTAAAGTTCACTTTAAGTGTAAATTTCAATAATATACAATTCATTTTAAAGCGTAAATTTCAATAATAATCATGTTGGTTCAAGTTTGTTTACAATTTTTTTTTCATAGTTAAAAAAATGCTAAATATAAGTTCGGATTACGCCATCCAAAAATTGTCAAGAAAATAATTAATTATTTAAACCAATGTGATGTTTATTTCTTTGAACGGTTTGGATTAACAAAAGATACAGTTATGCAATTTAGTCTAAAATAAACATTAGTCAAAGTGTACTTTAGTACAGTAAGTGAATAGTACATTTGAAAGTGATTTATACCACAAAATTTATAGCAAGGGTCTAAATACAGGGTTGGTCAATGCAGAAATGTAATTATTGATACCTTCTTATCTGAATTTTCCCTCGACCATACCACGTTGATATACCTCAAATACAATACATTATAAAATGCAAATGAGCAAATCCTAAGCGAATAAGCAATAACTGAACGCCTCATCATCATCACCATCAACTAGCCTCTAACGTCCACTGCTAAACATAGACCTCTCGCATGCTTCGGGGTCTCCATTTGTAACGACTATTTTGCTTACCACAGGGTAAGAATATGGGGGGACAAGATTGGGCAAACAAAATAATCGAAACAAATGCATACGGCACTCAGTTGGTTGTTGGAGAGCTGGGTCGTGGATAAGTTGAAGAGATTGGGGGTTAGATTGGGGCAACTACAAAAAAAAAGAAATAAAGGGGTACTTATACAAATCTCTTGGGACAAACAGAATGAAAATAAACGGAAACACCTCAAGAAATTTAATATAGGGCGCCACTTGAGGTGCCCAATTATACCTATTACAACCACTAGTTGTAACTAGGGAAATAATTGTATAACATCAAAAATATAGAAAAAAATATCTTTTTCAAATAAAACTCAAAATAGATCAGAGAAACAAATTAAACATTTATTTTTGTCTCACCAAACAGTTTTCAAAAATACAGCTTATACAAAGGCATATTAAATAAAATTAGCTGTCAAATACAAATAAAAAAAACTTACATATCTGTTTACAAAAGGTTACAAAACTCTTCGAAACGGTTCCTAGTAAATAATTTAAAAAATAATTTATAAAAGAAAGCAAATTTTGTCTTTTTAAAAGAAAATGTCTATTTTTACTTTAAAAATTAATAATGTAAATGTTACCTCAGTTCAAACATGTTAACTTAAACTTTTGAACAACTGGCTAATTTCTGTGGGGTATCTAACTGCACATCAACGGAAAGCTTTATTGGAAGCTGAAACTGGCACATTCAAATCAAAACTGCTTCAATATCATTCTACGTGGGGTAAAAGGCATCTCGGAAAGGAACTGGATTTCTCAAAAAACGAAAAACAAACAGGAACTAAACTCGTTCACTTCTCAAACATTATAAATCTTCAGCAAAATCAAAACAGTGGTTAGTGGTCACTCTTTCAGAAACGACATATTACATAGAGTGAAAATTCCACCATTTTTGGCGAATGAATGCCGGCTTACATCACAATTAAACGACTTTTCCCTTCGAGCAGTTCTTCATCACTTCCTCTCAAATCTTTTACTCCATTCCCACATGTCTGCCCCGCTTGGAACTTAAATGTCGACTCTTTTTACTTCGTTACATTTTACCAGAATCAGCCAAAATTTCCCTTGCCGTCTTGCAGCCTGTCGCCGACCCACTTAAAACCAAAACAAATATTCCCTCCTCTTATCGACAAAAAAAACAAATTTTAAATGTTCCTTTATTGCCTAAACAAACAAATATTTTTTTTTTTTACCCTCGTCTAATAACGAAAAACAACTTTAATATTAGGGGAATTCATGTTTATTGCGTTTTTAACGAAGAAAACAAATAAAACCTTTTTTTTATCAGGGGGCATCATAAATTTACATAATACAAATTAACAAAATACGTGCGTATTTTAAACTTGAGTTTTACCTGACTTGTAACAAAAGGTTCGATATTTGAATCTAAACACAGACAAAAAACATCTATATTTACTGAATCGGTAGAAATATACGCATTATTGATTATTCTAACCGGGATATTAGGGGGACTTCAGGTAACATAATACCTCTTTGGCGACAAAAAAACTTGTTATTTCACCTAACATTGCAACACAGAGATAAAAACATATTTCCAGCGTTAATACGCATTTAAAAATCTCGTCAAAAAAACTTGAAATATTATTTCGATTGTTTTCTTGGTAAAAACAACAGGAGCGTACTACAGAAATCTTTTATATACACAATAAATAAAAAAAACGCTACACATTCCAAAATTCTTCTTGTCCACCGGTCATCAACAACTGATCTTGCTACATGACTTGCCCAGTTTCACTTTAGTGTTGTTATCCTTTCAATAACGTCTGCTACTTCTGATCTTTTGCGTATGATAGCATTAAGTATTCTATCACGTAGAGAAATCCCTAACATTATTCTCTCCATTGCCCTTTCCGCAACTTGAAGTTTACTCACTGTTGTTCTTGTGAGTGTTAGGGTTTCTGCGCCGTAGGTCATCACTTGCAAAATACACTGATTGAATACTTTTCTTTTCGGACACATTGGAACCTTAGACCTAAAAACATCCTTCATCTTTCCAAATGCAGCGCAAGCGAGGTTTATTCTTCTTTTCAGCTCGAGTGTTTGGTTGTCTCGACTTATTCTGATTTCATGGCCCAAGTATTTATGGGAGTCAACTGGCTCAATATCTTTCTCTTCTACTGAGATGTTTTTGTTGTGGACTAAATTTGTCATAAATTGTGTTTTTGAAAAATTTATTTTAAGACGAACTCTTTTTGTGGCAGTATGGAGTTCTTGGAGCATTATCTGTGCCCGATCAAAGCTGTCTGTAATAAGAAAGATTATTATAATAATTATATTAATATATTTAATTATAATAATTATATTAATTATTATATAATTAAAAATTTTTCATCTACATTGATGCCCTTTTCGTTCCAATCTATTGTATTACAAGCGTATTCTAGCAAAGTTGTCAATAATTTAGGAGACATATTGTCTCCTATATTTCCTTCTATTCCCATACGTTGTTTTATTACATCATTTCTGATTCGGTCTCGTCTGGAAATACCTAAAGATTTTCTCATTGCATCCATCTCTACTGCTTCTGTTCGCTTTGTTCTTTTCATGGTCTTTTTATTTTGTTTTAATCATGGTCTCATATATATTAAATTTTCTTCCTTTCGTTATCTCTTTACTCTACAGTATACCATTGAGACATCCTAAGACTTTCTTTGCTTGTGTGATTCGTTTTTCTATTTCTCGTGTATCAGTTCCTGTATTGTCAAAGGCAACACTCAAGTAGTCATAGCTCTGACAGCAGGAAATATGTTGTCTGTTTTCGAGGTCTATGTTATCTGACTTGTTTCCAATACAAAGATATTTGGTTTTTGTTGTATTGACATTCATTTCCCAGTCGTTATATTCTTCTATCAGTTTTCTAAGCATGTACTGCATGTCTTCCCTGTCGGTCGCTAGTACTACCTAGTCATCCGCAAACTAGAGTGTATATATACATTCATTGCTAAGCTCTATACCCATCCTATGCACCTTTCTTTTCCATCTTTCCAATGCTGCTGCAACATATATCTTGAATAAAGTTGGTGAGATACAGCATCCCTGTCGCAAGCCTTTTGTAACCAGGAATTTTTCCGTTAGATATTTTCCTGTTTTTATCTGTGCCTTTGAGTCTCTATATGGTTCTTGTACAGCATTTATCAATGTGTGGTTGATGTTAGATCTTTTCAACGTTGTCCACAATTTTGTTAAGTGGATGTTGTCATATGCTTTTTGCAGGTCTACAAAAATAATATGAGTTTCTAGATTCTTAGCCGATCTTTTTTCTATTATTTGTTTAAAACAAAATACGTTATCGGTGCACGATCTTTCTGCACAGAACCCGCTTTGTTCTTCCTCTTCATTGTGCTTATATTCTTCCTCGATCATATTTCTCAAAATTCGTCCATACAGTCTGCTGAAGGTGCTGGTTACCGATATGCCTCTATAATTATTACAATTCCTTTTGTCCCCCTTTTTGTGTATTGAGGACATGTATGCCGTTCTCCATTGTTCTGGTACTGGGTGTCCATTTAGACATTGATTGATCACATAAGTTCAGTTTTCAAATAGTTTATGAGTTCCATTCTTAAGCATTTCAGCATAGATTCCCTCAGGTCCAGCGGATTTACCATTCTTTAGGGTCATTACAGCCTTCCTTACTGTTTCGATGTCTACCCTCGCTTCCTCTCCTTGTATATGTACTGACTGTGTTGGGGAGTTCGCTAGGTATTCTTGTCTTGTCTCTGTCAGCAAGCTTTCATAGTGATCTTTCCATTGTCTTGGTTTTATGGTGTGTACGTGTGCTTTGTCTTTTGCTGTATTTTTTACTGATTGTATAAAATTCCACTGTTATACTGTTTTAATAATGTACTTCTTCCAAATGTGCCTATCTCCTAGAGATGTTGGCGACCACTTTGACCCATCTTATTCTATTCACAGCAGCTCATAGATCAGTTGACGTTAGACCAATCCATTTCCTAAGATTGGCCAGCCTGGATATACGTCTACGTCCAGGGCCTCTCTTACCCTAAATCTTGCCTTGTAGAATCAACTGTAGAAGTTGGTATTTAAATAATGTGCATAATTAATAATCATTTCATGCTATTGGTTACTTTTCAGAATTAATACGTTATGAAAAAGTAATAAAATATCACCTTAAATAATGGAAATCTTGACTAACCTTTTGCTAATGTTGAAATAATTAAGTGTTGTTATGTTTTAACTTGATCATGAAATATCTTAAAAGTGGTTAGATTTATATATATGGAATACCAAACGAATTGGCTTAAAAAAATACAGCGGAAAATGTAATAAAATACAGGGTGCTTCATGTAAAGTAAGCAACTTATAAATGATTTTAATAGTGCATATTGGCGGCTAAGTTTAAAACACTCTGTATACAATATCAATGAGCTGGACATATGGAGTTAACAGGCAAGCGCTTGTTGTTAATTGGTTACAATTCCACGTCACTAGCCTCGTTATTAATGAAGATGTTATTCAATGTGTATTAGGATTTTTTCAAAAATTTAAAAAAAGTCAAAATATCTCGAAAATTATTTATTGTTGGTATTTGACATTGAGCCCAAATTTGGTTTAAAATTTCATGTAGAATTAAAAAATAAAATAAAAAATAATAAGTTCTATTTAAAATACGAAAGTTTACGTCTACTTCAGCTATAAGCGGTGCCACATTCAGAATAACATTATATTTCAACACAGTGTCATTAAAAACGTAGAGCTTGGTCATTTCAAATTTTTAGCACAACTGTATGCGCCATTACTTTTAATAACTTGTCTCGCCACACCCTGTATTGATACGTCAACAGTGTCGCCAGTGCAATAATATTTCATAAAGTGTGGCAACCTAAAAAGAATATAAATATATTTACTTAATTAAAAGCCTTTTTTAATTTGTGTGGCATTATTTTTGTAGACGAACCCTACAGTCCAGGTGATTCATCTGATTCAGACGTACAGATAATTGAATCATCGTCGCCGAAATTACCACCACCGACTTCCAGTACAAGCTCCTCAACAAGTTATCCGGAAATACCAGGTAAAATCAGTATATTTTTCATGTATTACTGTAGTACGACGAGTTCTTTGAATTGTCGTTAAAAAAAAGTAACCTTTTAGGATTTTCATAAATACTCACGTGAAACTTCGGTTTTAAATTTCTTTACGTAAATATGAAATATTTTGAAATGTAAGATACGGCATATGGGATATAATGTTTTTACCCAACCGATAGAATTCAAGCAGATGTAGTGTTGAAATGTTTAAAACTATATTGCTATACATATGTAATAAGTGTATTTTAAAACGAAAACAGGAATGAAATGGTAATATTAGTGCCTTTTTCAAGTGACGTATTTTTACTATGCGTCTACACTTGTAACTTATAAATGCCTCTTAATGGTGTAATATGCAAATAGGCAACTTCTTCTTCTTCGAGTGCCATCTCCGCGGCGGAGGTCAGCAATTATTATAGCTACTCGGACTTTTGAGACGGCTGCTCTGAAAAGTTCATTACCATGGCAACACAGGGACTCTAATCCTTGGCAACACGGTTACACAAATAATGGTACTAAGATCCAGACTTCAGACTTGTAAAGGTCGTGGTTCGACATTGCTAGACTACAAGAGATTCGCGAGTAAGATCAACAAAAAATGAACAAGAACACACGAAAAAAACAAGCGAGCACGAAAGAGAAGAACATTTTTAGGCACCACCCTATTTTGGAAGGAATAAGAAAACCTAAAAGTACGAAAATGAAAAGGGAATATAAAGAGAACGATAGCGGGAAAGACATATGGTTACTATATTGTAACAAAAAGAGTACTGAAGAGTAATTATATCCCGCGGTAAACACTAAAAATATGACATACATACAATACATATATACAGATAAATTAATACAGCCAAATAGCAAGATTAATTAAACACTGGCAAAAAAAGAACAGTTAATAACTGCCAAATTTCACAATAGATGTACAAAAAAAAATATTTAAAATAATAAAATTTATATTTAAAAAATATTTAAAGTAAAAGTTTAAGATATTTAGAAATATGAAGATTATTGTTCTCAAGAAAATTTAAGAAACTATATTTTGAAAGTTGATTAAATTAAGGTTTAATTAAAAATTATTCTAAAATTTACCTAAAAATGAATAATTATGAAACTCTGAGAACACTAATATAGGCGCAGTGATCAATCCCCTGTTAAAATAAATGACAATTATATGCAATTACAATAAGACAAAAAACATATATGTTTACACAGTAAATGTTATTACCATTTGACCGATGTAAGGTTTTGGGGAGTGGCCACATATAATATTCTATACACCACTGTGTAAGTGCTTTTTCTTTTGGCTCAGGTGTTCTACAAATAACAAAAATTATGAATTACAAAAAATTTCTTTAAATAACAAAAAAACATTAATTGGTCGGTAATTAGTTTTAAATTTTTTTTTATTAATTTTTTAACGATATTAGTACCGAATTTAAATCAAACAAAATTCTTGTAGTGCAAAAACGAGACTTTAGTACTTTTGATTAAAGACTCCATTTGTAAATACCAATCTATAAACAAATATATAAAATTCAAAAAATAAACATTTAAGCCTTTATTTTATTGTTTAAATAGATGCTTGGTTGTATAGTAACTTCCAGTCACTTCCAAACGATGTCGAAATTTGACCAACATAGCGAAAAATTAATTGCTAAATTTACTATAAAAGATAAAAATAGCCAGTTGAAACTGAGTGAATAGAATAGCTTTAACTGAAAGTGAATAGAGCGGTTGAAACGTTTCGTTGGTGTTATTACCTTCTAGACTATAGGCTCAAGAAGTAGCGGACTATCTTGTTTTTATCTATCTCCTATTATGTTGTAAAGTATAAGCTTCCAAAAGTAGCACATTCGTTTCTTGATTCTGATTTCTGAGATTTTGAGATTTCCTTAAAATAAAAAAAAAATCAACATTAGAATAAATTGGGGCATTGTATAGCGAGAGACATTATTTACACCTAGTAACAAAGAGTCGATTAGTATAAACATAGCGGAGCATTTTGAAAATATTCCAAACACTTTTTTAAAAAACAGTAGATATATTAAAAACATCAGGAACTAAAGAAGCTCAGCTTGAAATTTAGAATAGAAAATAACGATTGATCTTTATAGACAAAGTGCACAGCGTTTATATTAGCATTTGCGAAAATCGGCAGTTATTTATAATAGGAAAAATACAAATTCAGGCAGCAAAAAAATTTGTAACACAGGGGATACCATGTGAACAGATTGATTTTTTAAAAGATTTAGTCGCTAAATGTACCTTTTATGCATTTAATAACAAAGGTACAGTTTTTCCAAACTAGAAAATTCTTCAATCAGCACGCCCACTTTAAAATATATATATATATATATATATATATATATATATATATATATATATATATATATATATATATATATATATATATATATATATAAAGTATAGTTGGTATTTTTATAAGCCTTCTAATGGCTGGATTCTATTCCAGATTATAAACTTGTGAATGGTTTATAGATCGTTCATGCAACCTGTGTCTTCCATTATATTTTAATTTTTAAACAAATAAAACATCAGTAAAATCTTATTTTATTATTTTCTTTTTCTAGGTCTTACTCTTGGATTTTCCGCTAATCCTATAGAGGTTCAGAGGCAAATTGAAGAGCTAAACAAGAAAATTGAAATGCAGAAGTCAGAAATCACGAGCATGACCCAAAATATTGCGTCGTCTGAAATCGGTACTTCAGCACTGGCTAGTATCGCATTACCTAATAACCTTCAACAAATTCTGGATAGTATTAGAACTAAAAAAGATGTAAGTTAATAATAAAATAATTAGTTATTATAATAGACTCACCAATATTTTTACACTTACTTATGTTTCTAGTTTTTCAATAGTCGATAGTCCTATTTATTTTTTGTTACAACACCCAGTCTAGTAATTATGTATTCTCTTTTGCAGTAACTGGTATTCTAATCGCAAAACCTTCTTCAACTATCAAAAGCTTGCTTAAACATATCAAGTTATCTAAACAAATTATCTAGGTCTAAATCGATTTGATAATCTCAAACTATATTCTCAGTATACTCTAATAACCTATTATAAATAATACCAGAAAGAATTCTATATGTTGAATTTAGCTATGTAATTGATATGTAGTAAGACGTTAGGTCTTATCTTCTTTTTCTAGTGTATTGGCTAACTAATTCCATGTGTCCATTCCTCTAACTTTAACTCATTGTCCATATGAGTTGTATTAGGTGATGGATTCTTTTATAGAATTCCGGTCTTCCGTTCTTTAATCGTTTAGCTGTAATTTCTTCCTACCCTGGGTCTCTTTGTATTTTTATTTTAGTTATTATCTGTTCCACTTGACTAGTATGTTGTCTGTATGTTAGTTGTCATTTTCAATGTTTGAATTTTCCCCAAAGTATTCTCACCATATTTCTAAAATTTCTGGTTTCCCCAATATCAGTTGTTCTACTTTGTTTTCGTATAACGTTAATCTTGGTCATACGTGTCTGCATGGTTTCTTTTATTCTCTTGTAAACTTTTCTGCTTTCTTTTCTGCTTTTATGGTAGGGTATTTCTTCTACTTTTTTTGACGCTTCCCTTTTCTTTTTTCTGCATTTCTACACATTTGTATTCCCTTTAGATTAGAAATATCTGCACTATTTTAATTTCATTCCAATCATGTAATGTGATTCAACGTAAAAAAAGAGCGTTGAAGTAGAGAAAATATCATTCGATTAGAAAACAATATATTCGACATTTACTCTAAAGATTATCGACAAAGAATAACTGATTGATTTAAAGACATCTTTCAAATTTCACGTTTGCAGAATAAACGTTCAAGCTTAGTTTGTCTAAACTCGTGTAACCAATTAATTAAAAACAGACAAAACAGCTTCTTCTTCTAGTGGCACACAACCATTTGTGGGTCTTGGCCTGCTTAACAACGTTCTTCCATTCTGCCCTATCGGATACTTTCCTTCGCCACTGCCTGATGTTCATGGTTTTAAGATCTTTCTCTACATCGTCTATCCACCTTTTCCGGGGCCTTCCTCTTGTCATATTTCGTTGGTTTTTCCATCTCTGGATTACTTTTACAGCTCGATTATCTTGCATTCTTTTTAAGTGATCAAGCCAGTTTAGTCTTTGTGACTTCACAAATATAACGGTTTCTGGTATAATTACTGTTTTGTAGATTCTAAACTTAAGACTCGTGATTCAGTAACTTACTTTTCATTAAGTCTTTGTATGCATAAAAATACTTATTACCGATAAGAACCTAGGTAGTGAACATTGTATATTCGTAGGTATGGTTGTGTACCTTCAGATTCTCATGTCGATTCGACTGTGTGCACTCCATAATATTTTGTTTTCCGCTCATTTATATTTCAACCAAATGCAGCGGCTTCCTGTTTCAAATTTATAGTTTTTCGGCAAAATACCCTTCTATTGCGGCTTATTATGGTAACATCATCCGTTCATGCGCATGTTTGAGTGGATCTTGTATTGATATAGCCGTTCATATCTAGTTTTCTGATAACTTCCAAAGTTATATTAAAAAGTGACTACTGATAAGGTATCACCTTACCTAACTTCATTTTCAATATCAAATCTCTCTGTCATATCTCCATCTATTCTCACCAAGGCCTTGAAACCCTTTAAAGTCATTTGTATAAGTTTAACTAACTTTTTCGGTATTCCCAACATGGATAGTTGTTTTAACATTTTTTTTTTCTATCTTCGCCATCAAACCCTGTTTGAAATCAATATACAAGTTGTAAATTGGTATGTTATATTCTGCACATTTTTCGTGTATACTAACATATATGTATTCGATCAATAGTTGACCTCGTTTGTCTGAAACCACATTGGTATTTTCACCAATTATTTCTTCCAAGATATATAATTCTTGGTATCTTATAGGCGACATTTAACAGTGTTACGCCCTATAATTTTCGCGGAGTCGTTTGTCTCCCCCCTTGTACATAGGAAATATGATTCCTACTTTCCAATCCCCTGGGATGACTTCTAGTGTCCATATGCGGCAGATTAGTTTATGGATGCGCTTCCATAACACATGCCAACCATTCTTTACCAGTTCTGCAGTTATTCCATCTGTGCCAGGCGCTTTGTTATTTTTCAGATGTTTTATGACGTATACAGTTTCTTTCAATATTGTTTCCTCAACTAGTTGTTCTGTGCGATGAATTATTTCTTCTTCTTAAATTTGTTCTTTTTCTGGGTTTAAGAGCTCTTGAAAATGCTCCTTCCAATTTTTCATTAGTTCCTCTTTATCGCTGATAATTTTCCGTTTTTGTTCTTGCACACTATTGTTCGTGTCATGTGTCCTTGAGTGTATCGCTTGATTTCCGTGTAAAATTTTCTAGTCTCTTCTGTTATTATAGCCTGTAATTTGTTGTATTTTTCTATTTACCATTTCTCTCTTTCTCATTTTACATATTCTCCTTGCATCACTTTTTAGTTCTTCATATATCCTTCTATTCAATCGGGAATTCCTCTGTAGACATTTTTGTCTAGCTGTATTTTTGCTTAGTTGTTGGCAATCTTGGTCAAGTCATTTCTCGTTTCTTTTACCTCGTTTCGTCTAATATTTCCCTTGTTGTATTGGTAATTGTCGTTTGGATGATATTCCATTCGTCTTCGATGTTATTTTCTTCTCCTCTTTCATTTAATATTAGCTTTATTTTCAGCTGGTACTGATTCTTCTTCTTATGATTTTTAAATATATATGTGTTCCATTTTCTTTCTTTGAAAGAAATGATCCGAATCGCAATTTGCACCTCTCTGAAAATATTGGCTCTTTTCCCAACTTATCGTTTATATCACCTAGGACTATCTATAACTGCATCTCCCTTTTGTACGTTTTCACATTCTACTTGTAGTTGGTCGTAGAATTGATCGGTTACTAGTGCATCTTCTGTTTATGTTGGTGCAGGGATATTAATAATAATTGTAATATTATGAAATTTACCCCTTAGGCGTAATTTACATATTCTTTAATTAACTGGAGTGAAACCCAATATCGACCTGCAGCATTGATGGTTTACCATAAAACGCACTCCAAAGTTTCCCTGTCTTTCTGCTCCACAGTAGTATAAACTATTTTTTTTATTTATGCATTCATGCCCTTTAAATCTGGTTTTTTGGAGAGTGGCTATATCTACTTCGTATTTCTGCAGTTCCTGGGCAATACTTCGCATGTTACCTGCCTACAGTATGTTGGATATTCCAGGTTCCCTATCGCAATTCCATGATTAAAGTCCTGATTGTCCGTTTACTCCGGGCCAATGGTGTTATATTATGTGTTAGTTTAGGGTTATACCGCCCATGTTCGGTCAGGGGTTGGGGAATAATAATTATGACAGTAGGAGTGCTGCTCCATTCAGTCGTCTTTAACACAAGCAGGAAAAACTGTGAGACTATTTTTCTTCGGTGGACCGTATCCCACACGGCAAATTTTATATAAAAATCGACTTTATTAATTATAAGTCAAACCTATCAAAAATTATACATTACTTATCAATTTTAGTTTTTAATTAATTTTTTTTTGCTTATTACTAATTTTATTTCGTGATTATTTTTTCAGGCTATAGAAACTGTCGTTACATCTGTGGAACAGACTATTCAATGTGATCTCACAATACCCCTGATGATTCCAAAGACATTCAGTCGACCTTTAAACAACAGCAGTACCTCCGTGACTCCGCCGACGCCATTCCTAGAGCCGCCCAGTGATACCATACCTTTAAAATTACCTCCCAAACCACTTATAAAACCGGCGTCAGTAAATTCGCCCCTTTTGGACGATAAACCCAGTGTGCTGAGTTCTTTAAGCGCGGAGGATCTAATTAAAAAAGCGGCGGAAATGTTGGGAGAAACTGGAGGTGATAAGAGAACCTTAGAAAGAGAACTACCTGTGGGTAAAAGATTAAGGACTGACGTGAATTTACCTCCAGTGCCCGGTCTGAACAATGATCTGTAACATTAAGCGACATTTTCAAAGTTAATTAAAATTATGAATTGATTAGAGGTTTGTGGGATTTGTTAAAATTGAGAAAACTACATATTATTGTATAAAAGCTGTTTGTACCTCTATGCATTCACTACAAATATGAAAATATTATATACCGAAAGGTATTTTTGACTGGAGTTGGTATTTCGGGCAGCTAACTATCAATCAATTTGGTACTTCTGGAACTTTCTTCATAATCTTCGTCTTCGTCATGATATCATGACTTCACGAGTTGATCTTTCAGATGTTCCTCAACTTTTCTCTATCTTTTATCATCTATCATTCTTACTCCTATGTTGATTGGTCTAAGCGTTCAACAGAACATCTCGAACGCATCTACGAGCCTTTTATCTTACTCCTTAAAAGGTTGATCTCCGCTTTATTTCTTCAGTGCTCAAATTGGTTCAAAAATCCTAGGTAGACAAATTGGTCGAAAACGGGGATATTTTTTATTTATGAAAAACTACTTTGATTGTTGTTATTGTCATGACCCTTATTATTTAAGACACGCCGTTATACTGATTCTTCCAATCTTTTATATATAATTTGTTCTTTTTCATTTCGAAGTTAGCAAGAATAGTTGTATTACGTGCATATCTCTAGTTGCATATCTTTTTCCACCCATAGTGATACCGCCGTCCGCGTTATTCATTCTCCATATATATTAAACAAAATGGGACTCAGGACTACGGCCTTGTTTCATACCCCGGTGACCCTGAAAGTTTCAGTTAGTTCTTCATTAACCCTGGCATCTTAGTTATTGTACAGATTTTCTATCAGTAGTATCAGGTAACGCAGTAGTGCCATTTCAGAAAGAATCTGTCACATCACCAAATCAAGGTTTTAGTGCAATCAATGAAGCACAGCTACGTTGATATGTTAACATTCTCTGGAATATTATTTAAATCAGCGGCTATATGGCTTCTCTGCCTTTTAATTGCTACTTCGAATTCATTCAGATTCTTTCACAAAAGTTGTATCAAATTACATTAGTGAGTAATTTTGATTTTGTGAACGAAAAATGTTTTGTAGGGCTATTATAGCCATAGATAATTGTTTATTCCACAATGACAGTTTTTATTATCAACTATATGTAGTTTTGTATTTACTTGTAAATTTTCATTTTATTCTAGTTAAAATGCGGTAGATTTTTGTTTGACAAAATTTTTGTTGTATCTTTACATATTTTATATCGAAGTAGAATTTTTAAATCACTAGAATCATTTTCATTAAATGAAAGAAAAATATAGTCAAAAAGTACAAATTCAACTAAAAAATAGTTTGGTACGACAAAAAGTGCAAGAAATTATTTCCAATAGTGAATAAGTAATTATTGTATAACAAACTTGAGTGGTATGTACCTATTTTCCATGAAATGTGTACAACTTTCTATTTTTCCAAATGTATTGTAAAACGGAAAAGTATTATATGTTTACTTTTCCTATAACTATATTCTAGAAACATAGACTGGTTCTGTTTTAATGTTTTATAAACAATTTAACGAATACTTAAACGCAATTTTATATTTTTCTTCTTATTTTCGGCTATTCATTTTATGATATTTGTGCATTTTCGAATCACATGCAAAGATAAGAAATGGATAATACAAGAGATAAATTTGCACTTTTTCCCCTTTGATTTTTTCTCGGAGACTTCTAAACACTGATTTTCAGATGGTCTAGTTTGTTGACCGCTAATTAGCGATAAGAGGTATTGGAAGAATGTTCTGTACCAATTGTTACTTATCTAAGATTAGATAAAGTTTTATTCTAATATAAGCCTGGCTTCATTTGAATTTTATATTGACTCTTATTCTCTTGCTTTTCAATTTTGAAGTAGATGTCTCGCATTTAGTAAGTGATTAATTAGGCACATTATGTCCAGTAATTTCCTACTAAAAAATTAGATTTTAAATAAATCTAATGATGTGTAATTAACAGCAACTCTTAGGTATCACCTAAGTGATAAAACTGATTACAAGCAAGCAAGCAATTTAATTTAACCCAGCATGTGGGACTTGCGTGCCCCTTAGAACGACACTCGGCTGTTACAATTCATTAGGGCATGGAAGATTAACTCATGGAGTCATTCCACCACGTCCCAATGCTCCAGTCCGTCCCTTTCCCCATATAGCACACTGATGCGCGATAGAAGCTCTCTTTCAGCAAAGTGCTTGTCGTGTCGAAGTCCTGGATACAAGGACTCCCAACACGACATCCTTTCCCGATCAAAGTAGGTTAGAGCAAGGCGATCTTTTCCTGCTATCTCTGATAACTTATCGAATCTGAAATTGCTTGCTCGGGTCCCAAATCGCCGCTCCGGGCTACGCCTAGTTCGGCGACTTGGCGCTCGAAGATGTGGGCCTCTCATGCCCGGGTTTTTTGTTAATTTTTTGGGTGGTTTTCACCTTTTTGGGCTTGGACTCCTCCATATATTTTCCTTAGAATTTTTCTCTCGAAACGTTTAAGCAATTCTTGGTCGTTCTGTATAAGTGATTACGTTTCTGACCCGTATGTTAACACTGGCCTTTATTTTACTGGCCATTATTAGTGTTTTATATATGGTAACTTTAATTTTTCTGGGTAGTTTTGGGGCCATCTGTTTCCTCAAGCTATAATAGCACTTATGGGCAAGCACTATTCTTCTTTTAATTTCTTCGCTGACATTGTTGTCTTTGGTCAGCATCGAGCCCAGGTAGACGAAGGTGTCCACACATTCCAGTTCCAGATCATCAATTAATAGTCTAGGTATCTGGTTGCCTGATCTAGTACAATACATATACTTGGTTTTCTGCGCGTTTATTTTTAATCCCATTCTCAGTGCAGACGCCCTTAATGATCGAAATGCTTCGATCAGAGATTCTGTGGACCTAGCAATAATGTCTATGTCGTCTGCGTATCCTACCACTTGTAAAGATTTATTAAGTATGGTGCCATTCGTATTAACATGGCACTCTCGAATTACTTTTTCTAGTGCAAGGATAAATAAGAGACACGACAGTCCATCTCCCTGTATCAGTCCATTTTTACAATGGAAGGGTCTTGAAAAGTCGTTTTGGATTCTGACTACAATCTCTACGGCTTTTGAGTTTAAGTTCCTTTAGTTGAACAAGATGAAGCAGCATTTGAAATTCCACCATAGCTTGTAGAAGTTTTTGTCTGTTGATTGAGTCGTATGCGGCTTTGAAATCCACGAATATGTGGTGGGTGTCGACTCCGAACTCAAGCGTTTTCTCAAGAATCTGCCTGACTGTGAAGATTTGATCCGTTGTTCATTTATTGGGTCGGAAACGGCACTAGTAGTTCCCAACTATTTGTTCAGCATAGGGGATCAATCTTCTGTACAATACGTTGGACAATACTTTATATGCCACGTTAAGTAGGGTGATGCCTCTATAATTATCACACACCATCATGGTCTTCTGTTAATAAATATACGATTATTTAGACTTTATATGTTGGCCAGGATTTGCTGTTTTGATATTTTGTGTTTCCATCGATGGAACGCATCATATCTTATGATCTCTCGCAGTATTGGGCTTGGATGATTGTCCAGCTTGGTAAACTTTTTTGGCATCGTGTCTGTCGACCTTACTTGTTTCAGTTTTCTGAACAAAAAACGTTCAGAGAAGTATCGGGGTACCTTTACCTCTGCTCTGAGGCTGTTATGTGCATTATGTGCTGCTTGTATCCTCTTTTTGTTTGATTTACTTATGTGTCTCCATGCGAGAGATGCATATGTTATTATTCGACGGATGATTCGGTTAATCAGCCTTATTTTCGTTATTAGTCTTAATTTACTTCTACCTACGAGTCCTCTTATTGCCGCTCTTACTATTGTTTTTGGATGGTTTTGTCCACATGTTACGTGAAGGTTAGTCCTTGATCCATTGTGGCTCCTAGGTTTTTTGCTTATCTTTTCCATTCGATGGGTATGGTTTGTACTGAGAGCTGTTTGTCTGAGTTTTCTCTTCTAGTTTTGAAGATGGCTGCTTGCGTCTACATACAAACTCAAGTGTGTATTGTTTTATTTGAAAACTCACTTCCTACTTTCTCTACTGTTATGTTCTACGAAGCCCATATGGACCACGTTTATGATGATCGAAGGAATTATAATTCAGTAAAGTCAAAAACTGTTTTCGGATTTATAACAGAGAAGCTTTCATAGCAAAGTTTCGTCTTTAAATCTTAGTTCTTTTAATAATTATTTCATAAATGACAATTACGGATTCAATATACAACAAATCCGTGCAAATCCATGCCTATGCTGATGATTTCAATATTGTTGGGAGAACAGAAAACGCTGTACGAGTAGCGTATGTAGCAATAAAAGAAGCGGCTACAAAAATATTAATAAACACAAACAAAACAAGATTTAAGGTTCCTATTAGGTACATCAATGAAGACATGAGAAATATGGGACTATGTGCTTGGCGGAGGAAGGCGATGGATAGGGACGACTGGAGAAAAAAAATTGAGAAGGCAAGACCCCGATAGAGTTGTAAAGCCGGAATAATGATGATGATTATTCTGAATTTTCTTGCAAATTTTTCTATCTTTTGTCAATGATACGCAAATTTTAAGCATTTACGGTTAATTAATATTTAGTCATGAGTTTTTTTATAATTTTACGAGTAAATAATAAGATATGTGTTACTATGAAAAGAACTTTTGCCTAAAAAAGTTTAAATAGACTATAACAATTAGTTTTCTGTATCACAAAAAACAACCATTTTTTTTTCTTTATATCCCTCTCTAGTTTTTTAACGTTTTGAAAACATTCAATTTATATTTGAATTGCTTTGTAAATAAGTGTATGATAAAAATAATTTATGTATATATTTAGATTAAAAGTAGATTTAGAAGTACTTAATAATATTGTATATATAATTTTAAATAGAAATTTTTTCTATAATTTAATTGTTAATTGTATCAATTATTATAACTCAATTTATAAAAACAAAACAATGGAATAAGACGGTTTTTATTCATATATCGTTCCGTTTTTAGTTTTTAAATATCACAGAGAAAATATTAAAAAAGTTGCATTTATAATATTGATGTTTTATTTCCTTCTTACTCTGTATTTCAATATACATACATCATACATAATCCCTATTAGAGACAGCTGAAAAGATTATAAATTCTTCTTAAGTTTCTTCAGCTAATTTTACAGCGGCGTGGCAGCTTGTGTGCCTTGTGACAGGCATTCTAAGGACTCTATTAATCCACAATTACATTAAGTCCATTTTTAATCTAAAGGTAGTAACTCATGAGTTTTAATGTGTCTCCAACAGTTAATTGGTAGATTAACTAGCAATCAAGGTAGCCAGTACACACTTGGGACCAAGACCCCTCTACTAGTAAAGCCTGCTCATGATCTTCTAAAATTCTTATAGCATCTAGCTGACACCCTTGAACATTTCGAAGCAAGATCTATCAAAGGAGGCTGTAGCTGCAAAAATTATTCTCGTTCTTCATCTCATAGGTTTAAAATTCTTACAAGTCAATCATTTGTCAATAAAAGAGTTTCTTCTGATCCTTTAAATATTTATTTATAGGGCATCAGAATACCAGTTGCAAATATGGTAAGTGCAAGAAATGTGGAAAAAAGCATCATACGTTTTTGCATATTAATTCAGAAAATAGCAACCAAACTCCACAAAAATTGTCATGTTACGCAGTTCAGAATTCCTTTACATTGTCAACTATCACAGTCCAAATTCTAGATCTCTCTGGAATTAAACATAATTTTAGAACACTTCTGCACAGTGGTTCTCAGTCACATTTTATCACGTACAGTCTGATTTCCAAATTGGGTCTCCAAGCAACCTGCTGATATTTCTGTGGTCGGTGTCACTCATATATCTTTAAGAGCGTAGGCGCAAATTTTAGATGGAGCGAATCGGCACTTACTGTCCTATCCCTAGTTTATCTTTCTTTACACAGCAAATTACGTGTAGTTGAATTCTCACTGGTATGAAAGCTTTAAAATTGTCGGTATCTTGTTTATCCAGAATCGGCTTAGCACATGTATATCTGTAAAAGGCTGTGTTGTATAGGTATTGCTCAAATAATTCATAAAGACTTTATTTATTTCTTTATTTGCGTAAATTAAAATATGGGACGTTGTTACAAGAAATGTATTAGTGTAAAACGAAGAAATGACGGTTAGCTCAATTGAAGTAAGTATTTTTACATAAATTAAATTACTTAGTTACTTTTGGATTTTTCTGTAAAACTGATTTTTAAATATATACTGAAAATATCATTTATAAAATCGATCGTAAACCAAGAATTTTTTCATTAAATTTTATTTTCACTTGAAGGAATAAACTATCTGTTTGATTTTTGTGGATTGTATGTTTGTGGTTATCACTGCTAGCATTGTAGTAGAAGGTTTACATGTTAATACACTATAAGGAAACTGTAGGTACTAAGTAAGTAATACATTAATTTTTTTTAATTATTTAATTTGGACTATTATAGACGAGCACGATATCCTTGAGTGGCGGCTGAAAAAGTAGCAGAGATATTATTAAGTAAGTCATACTTTTAATTTTTTTAACATGAAATTAATACGATTTTTCTATAACATTCAATCCTGTAATTTCGAAGAACTTGCCAAGAAGAACATCTTTGAGTGCCTGTCCTATCGGAGATTGGATATCATTAGGACGATTCTAATTTTATTTACTGCTGTTCTGAATAATTCGTTAGTGGTACAACAAAACCACTCTCTAAAATTTCTCATCCAGGACATTCTTCTACGGCCTGGATTTTTGCGTTCTTGGATTTGTCCTTGCGAGGAGGAGAACATAATAAAGGAATATTCAGCTACTACGTAAGTTTTTTTTACCAAATATAAAATGTATTTAAAGTGCAGTAAACTTGTAAACATAAATAAATAATTTATATGTCTTTTAGACAAACTAATTCAGCTTTCATTTTACAAGGAAGAAGAATTGTAGATGTGCAATATTTTATTGGGCAAATACTGCAATTCCCCCACCACAGATTGTTCAATTGCTTTTCGGAAGATATTACGGTGACTAATGAAAAGCGAAAAGGATGTTATTCTAAATTCACTCTCTTTTGCCCAATGTGTCGTATGAAACATGAAGTAGAAACTGAAAAATATAAACAACCATCCCTCAACGTCAATTCTGCATCAATAACTGGAATAGTTAATATTGGTGGAGGATACACACAACTAACTCAATTACCGTAAAGTCTAAATATCCCACTACTATCAAAAAAATATTATTTATCAATTCAAAATGATCTAATTGACTTATACAATGAAAGTTCTTGGACATCAATGCTTGAGGCTGGACAAGAACAAATATCAGCAAAAGAGCATGGAGATAATAATAAATATGGCTATCCTTTTACTTGGCTTTTTTATAACTGTTGTTGCGGACTGGTCTTGGTCAAAAAGATCATCTTCTTCTAGTTCCATGACCGTTATCGATCGTTGGATATCATGTTGGCTACCATATTCGCTATCGTGACTTTATTGACAGCAGCTCTAAATAACGATGTAGTTGATTTTCCATACCATTGCCTTAGATTTTTCAGCCATGACGTTCTTCTACCAGGACCACGATTACCTTGGATCTTTCCCTGAATGATCAGATGTAAAAGATCATATTTTTCAGGGTGTCTCATAATATGACCGAAGTATTCCAGCTTGCGTTTCTTTATTATATTGACCAGTTGTGTTGTTTGGTTCAGCCGTCTAAGGACCTCCTCTTTTCTAACTCTGTCGACCCAGCTTATTTTCAGTAGTCGTCTGTATACCCACATCTCAAAGGCTGTCAAGCGTTTAAGCATAGCCTCAGTTAGGGTCCACGCTTCTACTCCATACAGCTCTCCAAAAAGATCATATAAAACAAATTATAACGCCAATTCTGGAACTGCTGTCATTATTGGTTACGGAACCCAAAAGATTATGTATCTTGAAGTACTGTAAATTATATGGAAAGATAAATAACACATATGCAATCTAAAGATGCAATACATAGGAAGATACTAAAGTATATGGAAGTGAAAGATGATATTATATATATATATATATATATATATATATATATATATATATATATATATATATATATATATGTGTGTGTGTGTGTGTGTGTGTGTGTGTGTGTGTGTGTGTGTGTGTGTGTGTGTGTGTGTGTGTGTGTGTGTGTGCAGCGATATTTGTGGTAACCTGTGTGAACATATTCCTGTATTATGGTAACTTCATAAATTGTGGTAACTTACACACGTTACCACAATTTTTTTTCTCAATATCTTCTTTGTTTTAGTAGTATTTACTATCAAAATAATTTTATATGCTCTTGTTGTCATTTGGCTTTCGATAGGTTTTTTTTTGCTAGGATAGGACCGAATAGAGCTAAAATAAAAAATGTATAACGCTGATTCTGCGTATGTTGCCAGAAATCAGGATGAGGCAGATTTAATTTACACACGCAATTGTGGCATCATGGGCGTGGTCGTAAAGTAGCGCCCTCTAAGATGACCTTGCGGTGTTGCACATTTCAGTTGAAATAAAACTAGTTTTATTTCGCATTTGGGAATAAATGGCATTAGTGTGTTAAAGGTGCCACAATAGTGCAACAATTTTCTTATACGCGATTTCGATGTTGACCATGTTAAGGATAATAATTTTAGGACAGGTTAAAAAAATATTAACTTTAAGAAAAGAAGCATTTGATCTCTCCAAACATTATAGTTAGCTTGAGTATCACATACTAATTTAAATAAAGTTGTCTATACTCAGTGATGTGCTCTGGTCATTCGTATAACTTTTCACATCTATTTTCTATGCAAATTATGTAAGTTTGTAAAAGTCATAGAATTACTCGTCCTTTGGCGCGTATGACCCAATTGCGAATAAAAATTACTTGAAAAATAAATTTTGAATATGAAGGACAGTAAGAAAACCTAAATACTATGTTTCAAATTTTATCATTATTATCAAATTACAGCACCTATTGTGAGTTTAAGTTGTTAATTTAAAAGACTTATCACAAGATTTGCATCCGACCAGCTTGAAGAGAAAAATTGTGGAATTGTTGTTGGTCGCATACTCATTGTACTTTTTCGGATACGTGGAAACTATTTTATTTTTAAGTGAAGAATACTCTTTTTTAAATCTCAGAAAACTATGATTTCAGAATCAAATGATTTAAAGTGCTTTTCAAACATCTTCTTCTTGACTTACTGGAAATAGAGATTTCAAAACGCTAATCTTGGACCTTTTTTTAAACAGAATGGTATATCCTATGATACCTAATTTTTAGAGCTGTATATAATAATTTAAAACACAAATCAAAGCGTTGCCACAAAAATAACGGATGTCAAATTTGAGCGTTTTTCTACATTATGCCGTTTTTTAACTCAACGGCCAATCATCAAAACACTATTGTGTTTACAGCAATTATTGTTTACTTTGTAATCTGATGGAGATTAGTATCAAATGGCATTTTAAAATTCAAATTGAAAAATCAGGCTCTGTATGCTAGACAAACCCATTGTAGACCCGGATTTATCTTTCCCAATTTCCTAATGTGATTTGATACCGCTATAGCAGTTATATCAATCCTTCTCTCAGAAGTACCCATACATTTATATAATAAAGTATGGAATATTCCATTTAAAAACAATGTTCAGAATCTGTCAATGTTCCTCAAGAAACAACTAAACGTTTGCAGAAAAAATGATAATAACAAAATAAATAAACAAATCGTCATCGCGTTATAAAGCAATTTCAACAAAAACTATGAACTTAAACGGCTTCTAAATCGTCTTTTTAAAAGTAGGGATTTTATGTTCAGTAGGGTCAAGAGACAAGCAGGTATCAAAATGATGTCAATATTAAAGGTCTTTCTTTAGCCGAAAACTTGAAATTTTCAACTCTTGTTTTTGTGC